TCTCGAGCTGTCACGCGAGGCAACCTCCTTGAATTCAACAAACTTATCGAAAGAGGGGCAAATATTCACGAGAGAGGTCCGAATGGAAAAAGTTTACTATACAGCGCAGCCGCCAAAGGACAGCCTAACATGATATCAGCGTTAGTGGCCCTCGGCTTGGATATTGAGACTCAGACACACGATGAGTGGACAGCTCTGCATACTGCAGCCTACAACGACGAAAAAGAAGCGGCTGAGATGCTTCTTAATCTTGGCGCCAATGTACAAGCACGGAACCACGCTGGCAACACACCCTTGATCCTGGCCGCCACTGAGGGCAACACAGAGATTATGGAGCTCTTGTTGCGGAAAGGCGCTGATGTGAATGAAAAAAACGATAAAGGGTCGACAAGTTTACATGTAGCCATCGAGCATGATCAGCCCGTAGCGGTCATCTTACTTCTTGAATCGCCATCAATCGACGTCAACGCCAGGATGACGGATGGGTGGACGCCGCTACATTGTGCGGCCAATTTGGGACACGAAGTGGTCACGGAATCACTTCTATACCACCAAGCCGATATTCAAGCGGTGGACAATCTCTCCTTCACCCCACTACACCTCGCAGCCCAACATGGACATGACGAAGTAGTGCTTATTCTTCTGTCCAATGGAGCACAATCTGATGCTGCATGTCCTTGTCACAACTTAACCCCACTTATCTTAGCGGCACAGGCTGGCGAATCATTTGTAATACAGTTACTACTGGAAAATGGAGCCAACATCGAAGCTACTTCGACCAAGGGGACTACTCCATTACTCGGTGCTATTGAAAAAGGCAAAGACATTAAGTCCGTGAGAATTCTCCTGGAACACGGTGCCGACGCCTCGGCAATTGATTCAGACGGCCTGAACGCGCTGCATCATGCAATAACGAGTAGCGACAAGGAAATGCTCGAACTTCTCCTTGAGCATTTCAGAACCCATGAAATTGGTCTTGACTTTCCGGACACGCGTGGAAATACTCCTTTGCATAGCGCTGTACGTGAGGGGAACGCTGCATTAGCAGACCTACTCATTGGCCATGGTGCAAACATGGAAGCCCTGGATAACAGAGGGGGAACACCTTTATGGCTTGCCGCGGAACTTGGGCTCACCCATATTGTCGAACTACTTCATTTGAAGGGGGCCGACATCGAAGCCGAGGATGATGATGCTGGGTTCACTGTTGCCCACCGAGCCGCTGCATATGGCCAGACCGCAGTGATAGAAACTCTGTTCAAACTTGGAGCAAATATGAAGTCTCGAGCACGCAACACCGGCTTTATGCCAATCTATAGTGCAGTGAGTGGAAAGCACAAAGATGCTCTGCAGGTATTTCTCGATTATGGTTTCTATGACTCGGAAATGCTGTGGGACTGCCTCTATTCTGCTTGCAATGACGGTTGGAATGATGGGGCGCGACTGCTAGTGCAGGCCGGTGCTGATACTCATAGCTTTGAGACAACCGTCCAACTACTGATGGAGGACTTGGAAGGAGAAGAGGTCGAGACATTTTTCAAGGATACTCGGAGCGTTGAAAGGGTAAGCCTTTGTTCCCAATCAGCTGTTTCAGCAACGCCGAGTAATGTCTATTTATAGCTATGCGAGCAATTCGTACTGGACAACACCTTCATGAGGCAGGCCTACCTTGTCTGCGGCAAAGACGAGGAGTTGACCAGGACGCTCCTCCTAGATGTTTTTGAGGGAAACAATATACTGCTGCAACCAACAAAATCGCCCGAGACATCTCAGTCTGATGGGACTATTAAAGCCAAACGCAAGCCGCCGCCACGTCCGAAAAAGCCCGCCTACCTCAGTGTTGCCAAAACCAGATCGGATTCCGAGAGTGCAAACAGAGCGCAAAAAGAGGTGGAAGAAAAGATCTTAGTAGGTTGCATTTCGGATGCGGAGAAGTCCAATGCCCACGTTTTACCTGTTACTTCTCGGTCTCCTCCAACTATCACGATCCGGCGCCTTAACCCGAGCCGTGCCGGCTCATCTCGCTTCCAAGCATCATCCGGCACTACGCCAACGCCCAATGCTACAACTCCAAAGCCACTAGGCACCAAAAATTCATATTCAAAACGTGCAGAATCATCCCCAGTCTCACACAATCGATCTTCCTCAGCACAAGGCGGAGCAACCAATGGGGAAGCCAACATGAAATCTCCCCTTCCCGAGTCCCTCTCCAGACGGCCTAGCCCCTCGCCCTCGCGAAGCCCGCAACCGCGCCCAGATTCACCCTGGAAGGGGAAAGGGCACGTACTGGATTCATACGAAGAGCATAATCTCAAACCATCAGCATCGTCGCCAAGTCCCTCCAAGCCTTTAGAGTCCCAGTATCGACCAACACCGCCACGGAAATATCAGTATGACAATTTGTCGAGCGATGAAGAGGATGGAGGAGCAGAACTTCAAGCGGCTATCGCGGCGTCGCTTGAGTCTATGAAACCTCTATGATGTTAAAGCCCTCAAGCTAAAAATGATGCGAAGGGATAGTTGGTATGCCTTATATTTAGGATGCGCTTGCTACCACGAAGCCTCTTTTGCCCAGGTAAACATATCAATTTTCACGGCGTTAAATCATGCCCAATTACGGCACTGCTCGACTGCACCACCATGGTCTAGTCCCGAATGGCTGCACTCTGAATACAGGCTCAAGGCGAGATTACAACTGCTAGCGCAAAACCACATCATCTTTACATGGAATGAAACGGGCAATATTCCATGTCCCCATATTTAGAGTAAAGGGGATTCACCAAGCCCGGTTAAGCACGTACCAGCCAACTGCCACAAATTTGGAGACCACTTTAATGACCAATATCTTGATTCCCCAACGGTATATTCCACACTCGCTCTTGGTGGTTCAGCATGATAGCGGGTTAGGGTTGTCCATCAAGCTGAAGAACTGCACTTTGAACGCCTCAATCGACGGAGACGGCCACTAACCCTGCCATGATCGGAACTGTTGTATCGACTTTGTGATTGGTTTGTTCTTTGCCTTCTTCACGTTTTCGCTTCTTGCATGTAGCTGTCTAGTGACGGCTACCATTTCTTTGGATTTGAAAAGGGAGTGCTACAATATGGGAAGGGCGTCAAATAAGGGGCTGCGGTAGCCTGGCTGGAGAATTTTATTTCGAAATAGAACGATGGATGTAGTATAATCCGATAGCCAAGAGAGATGAGAGTCTTCGAGGTGTTATGTAAAGAACGATATAGGGATATATAGAAGTTCTATGCGATTTAGAATATATCTCAGCGTTCCCGCCGTTTTACATCATAAAGTCACATGCCTCCCACAATAGATTCACTCGTCGAGAACATTCCAAACTTTACCACACATCTAATCGATACAAACGCCCTTCTTCCCATCTCTGGTTCTTTATCGCGGCGCGTTCCCAGCCTGCCACCGCAGCAGCTTCTTTTCACAGAAAATGTCCTAATCCGGCCAAGCAACCCAATCCAAACCACAATCAACCAACCAAAAAAACATCTGGAAGCAGGAAACTGTTTTGGCGGAGCAGCAGGATCAACAGCATAGAAATTTTGGAGGTCCTCACGGCTAGGGTTCTCACGGCCTCTCCTCCTGCGGTCCTTATTGTCCAACCTGCGCCTTCAATGCAAGCGATGTTCGTTTAATTATTTCTCCTATTCGGGCATGCGATAAGGGTGGCATAGATATGGAACTCACTGTCGCCTTATACACACCCCGAGCACGCTTTTTTTCTCTACCTATTTAACAGCTATTGGGCCATTTAACATTAAAAACAAAATTTAAAAAGCTAATAACTAAATAACTATAACGTATTAAATAAGCAAGTTACTTACCATAATAAAATTAAACCACTTTAGAACTAAAGAACTTGATAACGTTAAAGAAAATTAATTATTTAAAATATCTATTATATTTTATTATCTTTTAGCTATATAAAAAATAGCTTTAAATATAATTCATTATTTTTACTAGTTTATTCAGTTATTTTATTATTTTATTTACTAATATTTATATTTAGACAAGCGTATTTAAGTATTTTAATATTTAGTATACTATTACTTATAGTTATTTATTTATAACTAAAATATTAAAACGTATATAATAATATATTCTATAAATAAACTATTTAATTAATTAAACAATACAAAATTTTAGCTTAAGATAGTAATATCTTAACTAATTTATTTTCAATTAGTTTGAAAAGAATACCCTACTAAAAGCTAAGAATTTAAGGTATTCTAGAATCTAACTATATTAAAGAATAATGCGCTTAGCAAAATGTAGGGTAAATATCCACAAGTGCGATAAGACTGAAGCCGAATTTTCTTGCGAGCATGTAACTCAGTCTTCTGAAAACTGCGGTACGAAATCGAGAAGCCGACTTACCAATTGCAACAACGGGGCAAAAAAAGAAGCGATGGGAAAATACAACTTCATAGACCTTGCCCACTGTACAGACAAAGCTGCATTGGGGTGAACCAGTGATCGAGAACAGGGTAAAGGGTATTGAAAGACATAAGGAAGAGTTCAGAGAAAGTGTTCCAATTGCGATTCGGCAAAACCAGTTCTTCGTTTCAGGAGTTCAGAGCACCCTCTTCCAAATGCTATGAAATGAGAATCTAAATTCATTTTAACGTTCCAAAATTAGACAAGACATTGAATTCTGGAGAACAGACGTTTCAGGAACCTTTTGAGGGCCGAGCAAAATGACTTGATGGTCTCCCGCCACCCACTTTGGCGCCGAGGTTCGATAAGTGGAGCAACGCTTTGTCCAGTAACGACAAATCACTTTCGAGGCGTAGGCGCATCCCCATACAAGCGACGTCAGCTCTACAAGCCGCGTTTAGATAATCTTGGCTTGCTGATATCGAGCGCAGCCATTATCAGACGAGAAAGTCCCAAAGGTTTCGAAATGGAAAATTAAATCTTGGTATTTTGTTTTAATATAAATAATATTTAAATCTCGTTGTGCTTATATAGCAAGTCCTCAATGGTCTAGTGGTCATGATTTCCGCTTGTCATCAAACAAGCCGCGGGAGACCAGGGTTCGATTCCCTGTTGGGGAGTTTCACTTTTTTATATTTTTATATTTTTTTTCCTTTTCATTTTTTCAGATTTCTGAGTTAATTGCGCCTTGAAAACTCCTTCTCTACCCCCCTACCCTCCACCTCTTGATACTGGCTTGAACTTCACGGCCGGTTCTACGCCAATGGAAAGCCTGCCAACTAGGTAGAAAGGAAAGTGTTGGTTGGTGGGGGACTAGGGAAATCTCTGGGAAGAGAGTTTACTCATTAAGCACGATGTCTAAAGTTTTCCCAGATTATCATGGAGTACAAGGCAAATAGCTTGTTAGACTTGTCATGAAAAAGGAACATGAAAATATTAGAGAGCTAAATGGCCTCTGAGGCCAATTATATACAAGTACTTTCAGAAGCTCCTGCCCTGCATGCCGCTGTTCTCGCTAACAACTCTACCGAGATTAAGAATGGAATATAGATATTGACCCGCCATTTCACCCACTAATTTCTAAAACTTCTACTTAAGATTTGAGATACTCGTGAATCCTCCACGAGTAACCCGCCGGATTCCGGATATAGAACGAAACGGAGCACTGGATCAGAAAGACATCCAGCTCTGGACTTGGACATAATATTCGATGGGCCCTCGCGATAATGGACATCAAAAGAAGTTGTAAATAAGAATAAGCCAACACCTGAGAGCCAGCCAACGCCATATAGGCCCATGGGATATTACCGTTGTCTAGTTCGGCTGCATGGTCTTGAGGGCGGTATCCAAAGTCTAAGCATCGCCTCCAACCGAATTCTATTTTAAACATCATTAAATAGCAACTGAGTTTTAGTATGCTTCTAGTAATCGGCGTTCACTTGCACACTCTCTTCTTGGGCGCGGATGAGATTGGCGAGTGCAGACTCAATGCTACTATTTTAGATGCACTGTTCGATCTGAGGAGATCTGAGAGGTTTGGTGGATAAAAGGAGAGCTCCGTCGAGATTGGCAAGACCAATGCTGGGGTTGATAAACCGCATTCATCTTCTACGGAGGATGGGGATGTTTGCGGAAGCTTCCCGCGTGCTTTTGCAAAGTATGTAGTCTGTAGGATTGGATCTATCCACGTCACTCCAGGGCGTCTGTGGTTGGATGGTGAAAGGTACTTTTCTGCCTGCTCGGGCGTGTGTTGACTGAGGGATGTCATTTGATCTTGGTTCCATTTGAGGTCCGTCGTCTTCTGAACTGTGCGGTTTTTCTTGTTCTAGCTGTGTTGGTTCTAGCGAAGACTTCATGTCTTCAAGTGAATTGGTCTTGTCTTCGGAACTCCGGTCTTTTTGATGTTTTGCCTATGCCAATCGAAGCTGATCAGCCTTTTGAAGCGTTCAATTGGTCCAGCATCAAGAACCTTGAGCGCTTCAGAGATGTAAAATATTGCGATTCCCACCGTAGCAGTGACAATGAAGTTAACCAAGATATCCAGGGGCCCGGTGCCAAAGGTGGGTATGAAGTGTGCTTTGTACACGTTTCCAAGATATATTCCACGCCCGATGACGAATGCATTCGCAGGTAGGTTTAGCAGCCGTGTTGGGACAGTCAGAATCATATCAGAGAAGCATGAAGAGGCTTTCCATCGGCGCTGGGAGAAGGCGCGAATCACTTTTTCTTGAACACTCCAAGGATGTTTTCTTTATCCTCCAGAGTTGGGCGCAAACTATTAATCCGCACATAGGCTACGCTCTCGGCTCCTCCCAAAACATCTTCGAGAAGTGCCTTCCCTGTGGAGTTGGTAGGCCTGCTCAACCAGTCTTCGATATCTTCCGCACAGTGCAGACGATGCATCATGGGACGGACTACGCAAGAAAGAAAACCGAAAGGGCGCCTGTTACAAGACTGTACATGAAGAAAGTTTTCATGGTCCAATGCGAGTCAGTTACAATAGTAAGTGATAACGCAGTGATTGCCACCTGTGATATGATAGCGTCCTTTATATGGTTAGTGGTTTGTGATTAGCATCGGATTCTTGGGTTTGAGGAGCTACGAACTGCAACCCCAATCGTATTGAAGCTTGAACTATATGATTTCATGAACGCCAATACTTGTCCTGGTTTACTACGGAGAACGTAGCGCTCAACCCTCGTCATAAAAGCTAGGGCATCCGGGAATAGTATGAGATAGATTCAGGTTGTCATGAGACCATATTCCCGCCGTAGCAAAACGGGAGTTTCTCTTCTGGAAGAACCGAGAGGTTTCGTGATACCCTTCCGATGCGTTTATAATAGCTGGAATTTCACCCAGCGCAATGTCTACGATTTCGACATCACTCATGATGTCATTTGGAAATCCAAGGCATCGAGGAGGTTGGATTTGATAAAAGGAAACAAAGCTGTCCAGAAGGAGAGAGCGAAGACAGGGGAGAGAAAATATGGGTCGATAGTGAGCACAATGGTATATGAGCTGTGAAGACGCGGAGAGTTACAGCCCCAAGCTGCAAAATTGGAATGAGGCCAGCATTCGGCTGAAAGGTCTTTTGGGCTGAGTGCACAATGCGAGAAGCCTATCAACATGAATGTGAGGTTGCGCGCTCCGAGATATTGTCGTATTAACACTTTTATGACTTTGAAGAAGGCAGTCGATGTTTGTTTCTGTTCGCCTCGCTGAGTACCGATTTGAAAATCATAACCAGATATATTTGGTGAATGGTACGAATAGTTTGGTGGTCCTTGGAAGACATTCAATGGCATAGTATATGCGTTAGCGCTGCAAAGGGTTGGAATATCGGGATTTTCAGTATACTAGGTATCTCTTCATAGGAGAAGTTTTGAGTTGATGATTGATGGTTGAAGTGTTTGAGGAATAGTTCACTGACTAAGCACACAGCCCTGCCAAGATCGAGGCTGGAAATATTCAGTTACCCAGATATTCTCACAACCGCCGACACCACGGACACCGACCTGTTGCGTATTTTACTGACTCTTGAAACCTCCCCTCAAAATGCCGAAATATAAGTAACTTCTCCCCAAGTATTGCATGCTTGACTAACTTGCTCTGCACTCTTCTGTAGGTTCTCTCCGCTTAATCATCCTCATTCATCCTCATTCATCTCATTCATCTAATCTCGAGATTCCAAAGCTCCGACTAACCATGATTCCAAGGCGACTATTGCGATGTCTACCTCACTCACGACTCTATGAGTGTGCGAAAGGCACATAACAGCGGGAGGAATCATCTTCGAAATGTAGTCGAATACTACCAGCGTGCGCTTACACTGAAACTGTATCATTGCTACTATAAACTCACAAGGAGAATAGAAATTGGCCACGAGAAAGCACAGAGTGTCATCGACTCTATAACCTCCTCCTACGCTGCCGAGGGACAACAGAGTCAAAATCCGATGTTGCAGGGACCGCAAATGGGAGGGCCCGGTGGGTTTGGGCCACCTCCGCCTTTTGGCTTTCCCGGTATGCTACCCTCTAGTGAACATACTGTACCCACAGGGCCTAGTTTTACTAATGCCTCTTGTTTCCTAGGCATGCCCGGAATGCCACCGCCGCCCTTTATGGCCCCAGGTCCAGGAGGACGTGAGTTCAGCCACAGCCATTTCATATCTTCTTCCTCTACGCTTTCTCCCTTGGTAGCTGCTCAAACTAACTTGAACGTTAGCACCGATTCGCAACATGCCCAATATGCCACCCAACATGCCGTTTCCACCTCCCAGCATGGGTGGAGGTCCAGGCGGCATGCCTTTCCCTCCTTTCCCACCGAACAATGCCGGTTCTCCACCAGGCGGTATACCATTCCCGCCACCAGGCGGCATACCACCGGGGATGCCGCCAAATTTTGCTTTCCCGCCGAACATGGGAGGACCTGGTGGACCCAATATCGGCCCGCCTGGAGGATTTCCCGCAGGCATGGGAGGACCGCCACAACACAGTGGACCACCTGGCCAGTGAGAAGCTACGTCTTATGGAGTAAAATGTTTGAAGGTTTTATATGTGGTTTGATGGGGCTGTGTCGATATCCAGAAGCCGGAGTTTATTGGCGTGGTGGCGGGTTAACTAAATATCTTGGTTAAATGTTTTATTGTAGGTAGCATTCAAACCGCAAATTAATGTCCTTAGCTTATCAGCTACAAGGAAATTCAGCCCTTCAAGTTCTTCTTCGCCCAAGTCTCAACACCTGTCACCGCAATCGCCAGTTTTCAATTAAAGGTGCTCTTCTCATCCCAGCTAAACCCCTTTCCTTCCGCAAACATAACCCGATATTTCTTTAACAAATCTCCTCGGTCATTGTTCAACTCCTTCAAAATTTCAACACTCCACATCTCCCTCCCTAGAACTCTTCTCGTCACCTTCGCCAACCACCCATAACTAATCGTCTCACCCACGGTATACGGCACACGCCCTTCCACTTCCATATCCCCCTCAATCTCCACCGGCGCGCACACCAACTTCGCCCTCACAAACTTAATATCCTCCACCGTCGCCGTTACTATATTCTCCCAACCCCCCAACGCCCTCGCAACCACCTCATCTCCCTCCCTTTCCACAACCCCAAACGCCTTCTCAAACAAAAATCTTATAAATATACTGTCGACACATCCATCCAGCTTACACCCACCTCTACCGCCCGCGCTCTCAATAGATTCCGCACATCGAGCTGCTCGCCAAACAACGGCATCAGTCCGCCCGCGTTGCCGGTAATGCCGTAGTCTACGCCCCATTGCCACGGAAAATATCGCAGTGCGAACCTAGACTTCGCCATTCCGCTATATTGGTGCAGTTTCCGCAATTCCCCGGCCTGAGGACGGATGCAGCGAGTTTTTCTTGCGAGCCGGTGGAGAGGTTGAAGTCAGTGCAACTTATGATTGTGTTGTAGGACCAGAAGATTTTTGCGAGTGTTGAGATGCCGGTTTGTTCTATATCTATGGCGGTTAGGAAGATATTTGCATTGGCGAGGGAAGTGTAGCATGTTGGGTTGCGGACGATGATTGTGATGGCTGTATTTGGGTACGCGGAGAGGGGTTTTAGGAGGGCGGGGCCGAGCTCGCTGGCGCGGA